GCAAAAGGCACCACTCCCATAAAAACAGCCACCCACTGATGGTTAGCCACCCTGACGAAGCCGGCAGGAGGCCGGCGAAAGCTAGGTGCTTTTAATTGTAAATAAACTGATTATAGTTTTTTATCTCCTGGTGGTCTCACGGTTGTGATTCTTTAGATATATATATATATATATATATATATATATATATATATATATGAGTTTTTACTATTCTCTTTTTGTTTTTTCCATATACATGTTCTGCCCCCCTCCCCCGCATTATCTAGCAAAGTTTATTTTCCTTTTTGTACTCCTAATTATGATGGGAGGGGGCACAATGGCTCAGCAGTTAAAGACACTGAACTTGTCTGCTAGAGAGCTGACCACCTGGGTTCAAGATTCGAGTGCATGACGGGTGACCACCCGTTACTTGTCCCAGCTCCTGCCAACCTAACAGTTTGAAACCATGCAAATGCAAGTAGATAAATAGGCACCATTTTTGTGGGAAGGTAACAGTGTTCTGTGCACCTCAGTATATAATCATGTTGGCCACAAGAACATGGAAGTGTCTTCAGACAATGCTGGCTCCCTTGGCTAAGAAATGAAGATGAGAACCGTACCCTAGAGATTGACATGACTGGGCAGGGAAATCTTTACCTTAAATTATGACAGTCTTTTCATTCATTATCTCTTACAGTTACCTGGACACTATTCCAAAGCCACACTGGCCTCGTGGATTGGTGATCTTTTTTACATGGTTAATGTACCTAGTTGAGCTTCAGTTATTAAGGCTTTAAATCATTTCTCTTTGGCCCTCTGTTTTTCATCCATCCCTTGATTCTGATAAATATCCCCTTCTGTACTCAAATCTGTTGGACCCCACAGGCAGTTCCTCAACTGAGTGCATACTAAATATAATAATATTTTAGTCAGTGTCCCTATAGATTCTGCAGTAGTTACCATTCACACAAGATCACAGTCATACTTTAGGATTAAGTCTAGGGTTGCCTCCCTTCGGCTGGTTTTATGCCCAGTTATGCTAAGGCTAATCACTTAATCACTGGTTTCTTTGTCACAGCTTAAGCTCTGTCTATGTCACAGTAATAGAAGTCTTCAATTGTTTTAAGAACATCTATTTTTCTATATAAATATTGCATATTTCTAATCTACATTTGTGGCCAGGTATTACTTCCCATTGTGATCCTCTGGAGGAATCTGGTCTTCTATGTTGCCTATATCTTATGCTCTCTGAACTGTTTTATCTTGTTTTCTACTAACAGCATTCTGAAAAGCATTATGATAGAAATTAGACATATACCTGTGATTAAAAATGAATGGTAGTTAGGTTATCAAAATAAAATATATATTCATATATTCATTAACCATGATTCAAATATGTGAATAGTATGTATCATTACCTGAAAACAGTATTATAACTCAGGTTTCATGACTGACATATTTAAATCTGTCAATAAAGCATTTTCTACTAGCCATATCTGTAATTCTCTTCTATAAAGCTTTTATTTTCTATGGCAAAAAAATCTGAAAAATA